TAGAAGATAGGCTTTCACAGGTCCTCTGCCACAGACAACAGCAGACAAAAGACCCTTTGCTGGGCCTGGTGTTTTTCCAAATAACCCTGTACCTGGAATTGCTGCTCCTGGGCCAAGTGACACACCTGACCTCAGCAAGAAAAGCCACCTGAAAAACCCCAGGTACCTCTGGAGCCTCAAGGAGGCCAACTCCTCCTGCACTGATTTTGCAGTTCCTGTGCAGTGCTGACGTGGGGACTCCTCACTGCAGTTCACAGGTGGTGTTTCTGAGATTGTATCTACACCACCACAGCCACTCTGTGAGCAAATGGAAATGTGAGCTGCACTCTGCAACACCATGGCACACAGGCTTTTCCTCCCTGAGCTGGGGTTTTCCTAGTGAAATGGTGATTTCCACTGGATGATACACTTTTTTTTTTTTCTACAAGTGACACTTTCTTCCTGTGGTACAGAAAAAATGACTTGGACAAGGTGGTTGGATTTATCTTCCCGTGTTTCTGAGAGCAGAATATCCCACACAGCACAAAAGACAAAAAAGCCCCTTGTGTGGCTGACAGGGGAGTTTGAGGGACAGTGAGTGCTGAGCTGGGGTTTGTGGGGGAATCACTGCGGGGTCTTTCCAAAGCCTTGCCATGGACTCAGCCCACATTGAGCAGGGCTGCATTTTTACCTGTACTTTTCCAAAGCATCTGCTACACACTATAGCTACATGACTGCTTGTAAAAGCCCAGGCAGTGAGTGCAGGGTGGTGAAGCACAGCTGCAGCAGGGACCTGGGGACCAGCTCACCAGGGGCTGAACTGCCCCTGATGCTTTGAAACTCCTTCCTGACTGAAAATCCCTACTCATCTCAGTGTCTTCCTCTTTCTCACCACCAGCCACCACGCTTTCCATAGCACAGCCTCCAGCAGAATAGTAAAATATTTATAATTTTACCTATGTACAGAGCATGAGGGGAAAGCAGAACAAGGCAAAGCCTCCGGTCCCCTCCCTCCCCACCAGCCTCAGGTCACCTTGGAGGCTCTGTGACAATGTTTACAGTGCAAGGAGGATTTGACACAGTGAATGGCTTGTAGTCAATAAGTGCTGGTGGCACACAATAGCAATCAATCCAGCAAAACATTCACCTGTGTCTCACTGTATGGCATCAACATTCCATTCCTTGGAATTGCCAAAAAGGGTTTGCAAAGAATCTGCATCAGCACATCTGGGAAAAAAAGCCCCTGGAGAGCCAGGCATGGCTCACAGCAAACTGCAGGAGAGTGTGGAATGGAGCATGAGGGCTCCCACTGGGAATTCATGGATTTTACAGATACACTTTGAGCATATTTATCTATATTTTATAGCCACATGCTCCCTGTTGCACCTTTCTGCACTGCATTTGACTGGTGTCACAGGGTCAGAGGGTGTCTGGGTTCATGAGATCTGTAAGCCCTCCTGTTCAGAAGGGAGAAGAGGAGAGAGGATGAAGCAGTTTGGACACGGGTACCTTCTCCAGAGGGGACAAGGCCAAGCTGCAGGAGCCACTGTGGTGGCCCTTCCCCGAGCTGTCCCTGCTCCTGGCACCTGCAGCCCTGCGGGAACGGCAGCGGGGACAGATGGGTCCCCAGTGCCAAGGACCTGCAGGGCTTTGGCTTCACATGGTAGCACAAGAGACAGAAATAGCAACGATGGAAAAAAACCTCATTACTTGTATTGACCCATCCCCAAAGAACGTGTGCAGAGCACTTAAAATTTAAAAAAAATGTATTAGTAGATGTTTTTCTTTCCTGTTCATTTCTGATCAGAAGGAGGGGGATTGAGTTGTTTTGTTTGGGTCTGCATGAAGAAATAATCTGGCAAAGTCAAGAAAAAGGCCATGAGAAAGGAGCTGCCCTGGATGCCTGTGCCAGGCAACCAACTGTGTCACGTTACCCACCATCCCTTCATCTCACCCAGACTTGTCTCCAGTTACCTACGACACATCCACGTGCTGGTTGCTGTGCAGTGATGAAGGAAGATGCTGGTATTTCTCTCGAAGAGCTCTCAGAAATGTTCTCATGATGAAAGGTTTAAGCCCACTGGTGCTCTGCAGTGTTCAGTGACATCAAAACACCACCACTTATACCCTTAGTGATGTAATGTTGCATTTCTTTGTTCCTGGCTCGCTCCCAAGTCTGCTTTCCTATTTCCGTGGGTATGTTGTTAATTCAGTTTACCATCTGTCTTCAAAGCTTCTCTCCTCTTTTTATTACTTAATATATTTGTAATATCCATAGTAGCATGGAAACAAGAATCACATAAATGTCTAGATTAGTCCAGAGCAGCAGAGAAAAATTGCTATGTGCTGTCCCTGGGAGGGAGCAGGGAAATCCAAATACATCTACTCTTTCCTTTTGATGGTATCTAGCAACTGTTCAAGTGGAGCAGTAATAGAGGGATGGAGAATAAAAGCAACTAAATATACCTCCTCAAATACCATGGGCTTTGCCTCTCGTGCAGCAGCCGGTGCTCCACGGGCTGGGCTGAGCAGCCTTGGGCATCTGCTCTGCTTCATACACAGAGCACAGCAGGAAATGTCTTATCCAGAGACCTGAACTGGCATCACCAAGGACTCCTGTGCCACGGTGTGAGAGCCAGGATTGGGAGTGGGACTGCACAAGCTTGTTGTGACCCCAGATGACCCTCCTGCCCCCTTTGCAAACGCGCACTGAGAAATATTTGGAGGTGCACCGGTGCTGGTGGGAAGAGACACCGATGGCAGAATTCCTTTCTTGTGCCCCCACACATGGGTGCAGGTGCCCACTGGGCTCCAGCTGCTGCCAGGAGGCGAGAGAGCAAAGCCTCCTCTTCCTCACTGCAAGGCAGGACCGACAGGGTGGGCAGCTCAGGGTTGCAGGCACATGGAAGAGAAGAGCAGAGGAGTAAAAGTAGGAAAACCCAGAGATACAAAGGGTAAAGTGGAACCTTGTACTGCTTCAACTAAACCAGCAACGTGCAAATCCCTGGGGTAATTTGTTGTTAAATTTGTATTTTGTTTACTATATCACTCTCTGCATCCAACAGACCATCCAAGACTCCACATTAGGAAACAATTAGCTTTGTCTTTCAGTGACTTCTACCATTACTTCATCGAGGGGAATATTATAGACCTGTTCTCAACTTGTTAAAACCTTTCTAATGGTGCCAGAAATTGTATCAAAGAAGAATGCTGCACTGGGCTGTGGTGGCCAAAGAGCTCCTTATTCAGGAAATCAGCACAGCCACAGTGACTCCTTTGCAGCACAGAGCATTGTCTGATGGGACAGGGCCACCAGAAAACCAAAACCAGGCATGAGAGCAACAACCACTGCTCCAGGGCTGAGCAAGTGCCATGCTGCCAGGCCAGGCAGACCCACTGGGATCCATCTCCCAGAGATGACCTGTGTTGACAAACATTTTGGCTGCTGCTGAGGGTGCCACTGCAAAAGGCAATAACAGCACGTCTGTCTTCTAAGGGTACCTATCTTCTAGACAAAAACATTAGGCTAAAGTCATGTCCACACTAAAATAAAGAGAGCATGGCATTAAAAAGCCCTAAACATGGCATCAAAAACCTTGGCCCTTAGTCAGAGCCATACCTGGACAGACACACACTTTGGGAGAGCAAGATGCTCAGTGGAGAGGAGCTTGGACACAGCAGAGACACATTGAGATGTGAAGCACAGGAATCAATACCCCAGGGTGGATGTGGAGGCCTGAGGGCAGGAGCTCACACAGGAGACCTGTTCCCAGTGGGTCCTGTTCTCCTCCTGCTGTCATAAACAAGCCTGGTGTAGCCAGCAGTGTGCTTCAGAGCAGTCCCTGCGGCCTTGGGGCCCAAAATATTGTAACAAACACTTGCCCACAGCCTCCCAGCCACATGGTCCTTTCTGCTTCACCCATGTAACTCCCTGGGCCATATTTCACTGCATGAGTTTTGCTACAGTTTTGAAGCAGCTGATTCAAGCTGCTGATATAAGCAGCTGTAAGGCTACTGCCTTTAATGGGAGCCACAAGGATATTTTCAGAGGCAAAATTCAGGACAGCAATATTAGGTTCCTTTTTTTTTCCTCCTTTCTCCCCCAGAGTGAGAAAGGAGTGAGTGGTTTTTCATAACCAAAAAATAGCAAATAGACATGAACATAAATAATTACGATATTTTCCATTATCAACACTCTCCCTCAGATTATTTACCTAATTATGCTAAGATGTTGTCTTTTAAAATGATTTCCCCTTTTGAAAGTCTGCCTGTCTAGAGGGAAGCTCTTTTAAAGATAAAGAGGGAAATAGCACAGACGTTGAACGTTACCTTTCCTTAGGAAAGACACTTCGCACAGATTCAAAGGACCCGATTTCACATTGGCACAGCAGATCAATTCAACCTGAACCTTTAAATACCTTACAGAGATCCTCCTATTATTTCGGACTTGCAAGAATTTCCTAATGCGGACACACTTGGAATCGTCACCGCCTGCCCACAAAACAATGGGATCCAGCATCACACTCTGCCCAGCAGCTCTACCGCACACACCCCCCTCCGAGCGCGCTGCCCTAATTCACACACCCGCTACAGACAAAGTGCCCCGACAAATTTACCGGAGACGCACCGACAGAATAAACCGGCAAGAGGGTTTGAGAGAAATTATGTAATGCGGCCGCCGAGCTGCCCGCAGCGCTGCCATAGCGGCTCGTGGTGCCGGCTCTCCACCGCTCGCATCCCGCAGAGCATCATCCCATCCCATCCCATCCCCTCCCCACGGCACAGCGCCGCTCCCGCCTGCCTCTTCCCTTCAAAGCGCTTGGAATACCCTTTATCCCGGAGCCGGGAGGGCGATGGGGAGGCGGATCGCGGGCCCAGAGGCCGTTCCGAAGGGTTCGGGCCGGTATCACCGCGCCGGGGCGGGGAGCGGGTCCCCGCCCGCTGCGGGGAAAGGAGCCGGGAAACGCGGAGCGGGGAGGGGACAAAGCCCCGGTGCCGAGGCGGTTCGGGGGAGCACTCACCCAGCAGCAGGCAGCCGGAGCCCGCGGAGCCCAGGAGCGGGGCGAGCATCCCTGCGGCGCGGCCCCTCCGCCCCGCTCCGCGCACTGCGGCGCGCACTGCGCACCCCGCCGGCCGGCCCGCCGGGCCCCGCACGCTCCCCGCCGCTCCCCCGGCGGAGGGCGGTGTTTTTAGCAGCCCTCCTCCTCTCCCCATCCCTGCCGAGCCCTCCAAATCCCTCTTAAAAGGGGCGATGCTGCCGGTGGCGCACGGTGCTCGTCAGAGCATCCCTGTCCCCTCGGACCCACGGGCGGCGGCGGGAGCAGACAGGGAGGGAGGGAGGCGAGCGGGGTAAACTTACTCCCTTTTGGTTGTTATTTTCGCTTGGGCCGACGAAATCGCCGCTGAGCGCTGACCTGCACAGCAGCGGTACTTAAGACCATCAGAGATGCTGAAACAATCACAGCTTCATCAGCAGAGGCAGCTCGGCATTGGTTCGACATGTCTCACCATCATACACTCAGTGGCTACTTAAAAAAAAAAAAAAAAAAAAAGGGCCGGCAAACTGTGCCTGTGATACTAAATAGGTGGGGAGAAGAGTCAATTTGTGTTCCTGACGATTCTGTCTGTCCCTGAAGCTGGTTGTAGGAAAACTAATCTCCAACTCCATGGTACATGAGGGGCTTTGCAAAAAAAGACTTTTAAAGAGCTGCACCAGTGGTGAGAGCACGTCTTGCATCCCTCTGGGAATCTCAGTGCCAGTGGGGTAAACAGGACAGGAGTGCCAAGGGGGGGAAGAGATGCTGTCTTTTTATTCAGCCTTTTGAGTGACTAACATGGCAGGTCTGCACAGCAGGCACTTCTGCCTGCTCCAGGCTCTGATATGCAGCTGTTTAACTCTTGGCGAACGTGGGCCAGATATACCAATAAAATTCCCTGCTTGTACCAGGAATTAGCACTAGCTGGGGTATGGTTACAGTGGTGCAGGGCACACATTTCCTTTGGAGATAAAAAGCTTTTGGTTTTCTTAAAGGCGAGAATGAAGCGGACGGAAATAAAGAATTTCCATTCCATGACAAACATTTTTCACCATGTAGTTTCCTTCTGATTCAACACGAGGACTTGAACTTCCCTGTGTATAGAAGCCCAGCAGCTGATGAAACCTGATGCAATTTGTGTTAGTGTCACCACTGCACACTCCTGAAAGCTGTTATAAAATTGCCACATCCATTTTACTCAAGGGCTATTTGGCTTCCAAGATTCGTAGTCAAGGCAGAAAACCATCATCAACCACACTAACAAGCGAGCTGGGAAACAAAGAGAACTGTATCTGATTCCTCAGGCTGCAGTCCTCACAGTAAATGCCTCTAAAGCAATTGGGACTTCAGCCACACCTTCAAGGGTCAAAGAAAATATAACAGCTATAAAATAGGACTTGGCAAAATCATATCTACAGCAATCTATTTTGCTTAAGAGTAAAATAGATTATAGATTAAATACTGCACAATCTATTTTACTTAAGAGCATTTGTAGCCTATTCCTAAGGCCTTCTTTTTTTTGAGAAGGAAAAAAGTCTCCACACCGGGTTTTATTTGCCTCCCTGCAGCAAATTTTTTGTTGCAAGGTTGTTAGCATGTCTCATCTTCTTCAGGCTACCCAGATCCTACTGTTCCTGTGTCGAAGCAAGTCCAGACTTCTCCCTGAACCACCAGTTCTGTTTCCTGAGCCCTGTTCCTGAGACTCCTGGAAGCCTCTGTTAGCTAGAAATGACAATACTGCAGCTAACAGATAGAACAAAACAAGTTGTCCTAGAGATATTCAAGACCAGGTTGGACAGGGCTCTGGGCAGTTGAAGGTGTCCCTGCTCACAGCAGAGGGGTTGTACTATATGACATTTAAGGTCTCTTCCAACCAAACCGTTCTGTGATTTGGGATCTCTTGATCTTTCAGGAGATGGAGCTTTTCAAATAACGCTTCCTTAGGGAAGGTGAAGGACCAGTAGAAACTGGCTGAAGAGTACCAGCTCCCAGAACTCCACTAAACGGGTTTACAACAAACAGATTTGCACAAACAGTTGCACAGTGAGTCCTGAAAACACCTTTTCCCCATCTAACATAGGAGTGAAGATCATTGGCACAACAAATCCCCCTGGACCTCCATGCCCTTGCTCTGGGGAGCCACAAGGTGTCTGCCTATGCTCTGCAAAGCAGAGCTTTCCTGACCTCAGCAGCTCCTGCAGCAGCTCCTCCAAGCTCTATGCACATTAAAAGACAAGTGACTTCCTGTGTTTCACCACAAACTTCCTGCCTCTCTGCAAAGTTCTCATAAAGCTTTCTCTAACTCTTGACTTTAAAACCTCTGCTAGCTTTCTGCTTCTCTGTACACTGGAGCCCGAGGCAAGCTTGGCCCAACTGACCATCAAAAGGCCAGCCACTGTTTTCTGAAGTTCTCCACTCCTCAACAGCAGCCAGTTTAAGTGCTTTCACCTCCTGCCATAATAGTGATGGAGATCCTGCCTTTGGAAGTGTCACAGTGACACACACCTGTCATCATGACATTTTCCATGATAAGAAACCACCCAGAATTTTATGATTCGCAGACGTGCCCCCAGCCACTCTGACACCACAGAGCTCTCCCTCCTGCAGAGGACACCAAGAATTCAGCCACCAAGAAATTTAAGCCACAGACCAGCAGTGATCTTCCTAATAGAGCAGAGGACAACCTCAGGAAAAAATGGCTAAGGAATCTAAGCTTCTGCCTCTCTAAACTCTGTTAAGTTTTCCAATTCACCCCAAGACCTGTTACTGCCAGAACCCTCCTTCTGTGTTGCATCACAGCCTGGGCTGGGTTATACAGAACATGTGCTGGAGCACCTCCCTGTGAATACACAGAGTGGCTCCTACTTGCTCTCACAATTAGATACAATAACATTGGCCTAGCAGGGAAGAAATCAGTTTACTTCTTGCTTGAATACACTTATGTGTCTATTCAGCAATCCAATATAGTCTGTTTGTCCCAAGTAACACTAATATAAAAAAAAACCTTCAGAAGTTCTCCATTCTGTTAAATATTTTTAAGAGCATATGCAATATATTTCAAGCTGTGACTTGCCTGATTTTTATTGCAGATTTTTCAGTCTCTCCTCATTCCCAACCAGCTGGTAAATAGTTACTATGGCAGCACCTAATGCAGAGTGACTCAGCACTCCCCCACGTTTCAGTAGCAGCTCTGTCTGCCCTTCTGGTTTCTTATGATAACCTTGTCTTCTCTTTATTGTTTCATTGCAGAATTATGATGTTTAAAAGATAATTCTTCCCTTGTGAAATTCAGCATTTATGGATGGAATCAATGCAAGGATCTGCTAAATAAAGATCGTACCTATTCAGGATGCTATTTCAGCTTTCCTTTTGTGTTGATCACAAAGATGTTTGAACTGTTTCCATCATCTCTCAGTGTTTCTTTGGAGCTTTACATTACCCACTGCCAGGTGAGCTCGTCTCAGATCAAACCACAGCAGCCCAGCTCCAGTTTGACTGGAGTTTGACAGTCTGTTTGACTGTGAGAGGAAGCCCCTCTTCCCTTTGTTGTTGTTCAAAGCTCCCTGCTTTCTGTACCAGGGCAGGCACACTTTTTTTTTATTTTTAATTTACACCTCAAGTTTTCTTCTTTGTCCTTTCTTTGCATTTCAGTTGAACCCAGAGGTGACTGGTCAACCAGTTCTCATTGTTACTGGCAGCAGAGAGAAGCCACAGACCTTTATATCCGTGCCTTAAAGCAAGTTATGGAGAAAAGGAATCATAGAATAGTTTGGGTTGGAAGGGACCATAAAGATCATCCAGTCCCACCCCATGCCATGGGCAGGGACACCTGCCACTAGCCCAGGTTGCTCCAAAACCCTTCCAACCTGGCCTTGGACACTTCCAGAGATGGGGCAGCCACAGCTTCTCTGGGCAACCTGTGCCAGGGCCTCCCCACCCTCACTGGGAACAATTTCATCCTAATATTCAGTCTAATTCTGCTCTCCTTCAATTTGAAGCCTGAGGGACACCACTCAGCACTGACATCAAGCTGTTGACCACAACTCTTCGAGTGTGACCATCCAGCCAGTTCCTTGTACACTGCAGTTTGTTGAGTATAAGAGCATGAAAAGGTTTTGGCAAGTTATCAGCTTAGAAATAATTCTTTCTGACAAGAGTGGAACCTTCAAAGCCTGTGGTTTCCCATCTCATGCTTGGATTTCCCCAGAGCTAGAAGGGTGTGAACTCTCTCATCATGGCTTTTCCTGCAGTTGAGGTAATTGTTTAATGTGTATTGTGACATTCTGGAAGAAAGTGAGTCTAAATTGGCTGGTTGGGGATCTCAGCTGAGCTAATTTCTTAACTTTAACTTTCTAAAATTTTAGCTGACAGATTTACAACGAACAATATATAGCAAGTATCTGTGGGAAGGGTCAAGGTACTTTTCCAGTGCACTTCATGAACATTAAGGTAGTTTTTTTTATACCCAGAATGCAAAAACACGCCTGAGGAAGAATATTTTTCTGCCGAGCTCCCCAGGTTTCTTTCACTTTTCTTTCAGCTATTCCGAGCCCTCCCAGTCCTGACATCCCACGGGAAGCTCGAGGCCCTTCCCCCGGGTGAGGACCCGGTCGGGTGTTTCCAGAGGGCAGGTGAGGAGATCGCGGCCGGTCCCCGCGGGGCAGGGACGCCTCCAGCACCACGGACAGCGGCACCACGGTAATTACCGCCCTTAATTAACGAACCCCTTCTGTGGCCCATTAAGTCACTGACGGCTGTGATGGGCTCCCTGCTGCGTTCTGTATTAGCACCAATATCAGAGATAGCAACATGATTAATGTGTTACCCCAGAAGTTGCAGTTGTTCCTTCCCCGCCTTCTGCTTCAGCACCAACCTCTTCTTTGGCCATTTTATTTTTTTCTGCCTGTGGAAGAGAAGATAATTAAATCCATCTTGCACTTCGAACCACAGAATCCTTTAAGTTGGTAAACACCTCTAAGATGAAGCCCACCACTAAACCATGTCCCCAAGTGCCACATCAACACATCTTTTAAATCCCTGCAGGGATGGTGACTCCACCACTGCCCTGGCAGCCTGTGTCAGTGCC